TATAGGAAAATTTGGAAGAATTGGTGTTTGTGAAATTGAGTTAAAAAGAAGTGTTGAGGGAAGTGAAAGAGTTTCAAGTAGTGACAAAGATGTATCAGATGAAACGTCTATTGGATCATTTAATGAATTTGGTTCGCCTCTTCATTTGGTCGGATGATGTTATGATCGTAATAATCGATGGAGTAATCATTAGCTTTAGGTGCAGTGAATGTGGTTAGTAATTGTCTGTATCCTATTTACGTGAACTGGTTTGTGGTTGATGCTGCTGTTACAAAGTAGAATTGGGTGCTGCATTTTTCATTATCATAAGGGGTGTTAAATAGTGGTATTGATAATGGATTAGTAAAGTGGTAATGAGATGTCCAAAGAAAGTGTGGCGTATAATACATGCTCGTTTACATAATTGGGTTTTTCATCATTGGGGTCGGAATGAAAGTAGATGACATATTTGTAGGAATTCTTTCGTATTAGTGTGAAGTGGATGATTGACAAATGTGGTGGATGTTCCTGGGTTAGATGGGAATGGGGTATTTGGAAATTTTCTTTTGAAGGTTCGGTAAGCGCGGTTGGTACTAGAGGATGGGGTTGATGGGGAAGTTGGGTTTTGCGATGGTGTAAACGTTGAAGAGGGGGTTGGGGTTGATGGGTTGGATGATGTTAAATATCGTGAGATTTGGTGAATAGATAGTAATTGAGGGTGTTGTAATCGTTTTTGTAGGGTTATGAAGTTATCAAGTTCATGTGATATTTGTGTGTGATCTTCGTCTTGTTATCGGATGGTTTGCTGGTTAGAGGGGATTATATGGGTATAACATATGAAATGGTAGAGGGAGGGGAAAGGGGTTCAATTCTGACTTGAGAATGAATAGGTTGAAAGGGAGGTTGGGAAAATGTAGGTGGACTGGGTTCAGAGTTGGCAAATTCGTCGGGTGTTTCGATATCGTAGTTGTTGAATTGGGAGATAGTCTTATATACTGTTGTGTTGGAATTAGTATCTGATTCTATGCTGGGTGAAATGTTATGATGATGATTGAGGTTGTGGGAAAACAAAAAGTGGGATGATGGGGAAGTTGTCCTGAAGGTTGGCTGGGTGGGAAATTGATCGATGGAGGGATCCAATTTGGCGGCTCATCGTGGGCTAAAAGGATGGTTGTTCTGAGAACAAAAATTAGTGGTGTGTGAGTGTTCTATATTTTGTTCAATTGTGTCGTCTATGTTGAGCTGTTGGTTATTATGTGTTGGATTGGGCTTTGTGGATAACTAGATCTCGAAGTTATGAGTTCTGATAGGGCAATGTTTCTAAAAATTTTTGGTACTAATGATTAGGGGTGGTTATGGTTAAGATTTTGTAATTGAGTTGCTGTGGGCGTTTTTTTGTATTGTTTTGTGATTCGTCATACGTGTTTGGTGTTTTTGATAACTCGGTATTGTATTATTTTTATTGAGCGTCTAAAAGAATTTCATTGATTGATGTTGAAAATTTTCCAAAAATCCTGCGAAAAGAATGCGTGCTACGCTTGCTTGTTTATTTCTCTTGTGTGTGTGTGTGTTGCGCATGTATTGTAGATTTCTTTTAAGAGAGAGAAAAGAAATCCAAGAAAATTAAACCTTGCGTATAATATAGTCAATTTTTCTAAGATGTTGTAAGGCCATCCTAGAAAGGCAAGAAGTTCGTTTTTCAAAATTACAAAACTAAAAATAATTTTTGGTGATATATCTTTTGGTCTGTATTTTTCGGAATTTAAGTAAATGTAATCTTTTATATCTTTAGTCTTGTGCGAATGTGTCTGAAAAGTCTGCTGTTTCTGCAAGTTTGCTTAGGTTTTGATCAATGGATTGTCGTTGTATTGTGTCCTTTTTTGTGAGGAATTCTTGAAATTGTTGTGTTCGAATGTGATGATGGATGTCTGATTTAGATTATATGCCGATTGATTGTAAATAAATATTGGGATTGCGGGCAATATCTCTTATGCTTTCTGGTGAAAATTTTTTGAGTGGTTTCATGAGTGTAGGGTATGGTGTGAGAAGATATTATTTATCTTCGTCAGGGATTGATTGTACTACATTATGGCTGTTATTTGATCCACATGGGAGTGTTGTATCCCAAAAATAATTTCTGCGGGAGAGTGTATCAACAAAATATACTTTATTTTTGTAGAATATTGGGATTTTTTAAAGCATCTTTTATCTTCAAAAACATATAAAGGTGGTTTTTTTTAATACAAGTATAATACCATAATATATTTCCTTCGTAGTCAACAAAATTGATCTGTTTCCTGACAATAAATATCCCACATAAGTGATTCTTAGTACTGCTGGTGCAAGTGATTGTAAAATTTGTGTGCGTTCAAGTTCGCATAATTGATGGAGTGATTCAAGTTCTGTCAAAGACATTTCTTGAAAGATTCTACTTATTGTGTAATCTAATTTCATGTCTAAGTGTATGTCATAGTGGATTACGCCAAAACGAGTGTTGTTCATGAGTGATAGTTCTTGTAAACGTGGACTGTCTTTGTCTTGTGGTTTTAATTTTCTTCCTGTATTTCCTGTATCCGATTCTTCCTGTTTTTTTTTGAAATTTTACCGAGACATTTGAGTTCTCGTCAGTGTATGAGCGAGATGTAGCCATTGGATGTAAATTTAATTTTCCTGTATTCAGGTCGAAACCGTCTTCGTATTCGACAAGAATTTCTGAAAACTATGTTCTGTAAAGTGCTTTGTTGTATTTATATGCAAGTTCTGTTTCTGGGTATATTTGGAAACGTGTCAACTTATTCTCTGTAGTATGGATGTTTCTGAAATTATAATTACTATGTCTAATTTGGAGTTTACATCTTCAAACAGGATTGATTCAATAAAAAATTTTTAATGAAATTTTATCGTTCCAGCGTGTATTTTGCTACATGAAATGTGGTACAGGTGTCTTCGGGGAACCAAATGATCGTTGCTTGTGTGCGGGTAGTAGGATTGCAAAATCCTTGGTCGTTTTTGCAAGGGAGTCTGAATCCTTGATAAATTATAGTGTCATCTTTTATATCACGTGTTTGTTGTACTTTTTCAAGTTGTATTTTCCAATCAAAAAACATTATTTCTTGGTATCCTTTATTTTTTGTATCTGCTTTACAATTTGAGGGATTGTTTATTCCAATGTGTAGTATTTAATTTTTATCGTGGAGATCGTAATATGATCTCCCATGTGCTCCGTGAAATGAAAATTTGTTATCTAGTCTTAAGTGACCTTGGTGTTTTTCAAGTTCAACTTGATGTGCTGAGTCTGGAAAAATCTGAAAAATGCTAGTTTTCTGTTTTTGCCTTTACTTGTTGTGATTTTTAATCTTTCAAGTTCGTTTTTGCAATCTTCAGAGCTGAGGTGCAATAGTCTTTTGATGTTACTTTGGTAGAAAGATTCATGGTCTAATCTGTTTTTACTTCCATTTGAAAATTGTGAACAGTGTATTTTCTTTTCGAAAAACTTTGCTGTGAATTTATATCCTGTTAGTGTTGTAGCTCTGTTTTTTGAGTAAAGAGTTGCTATCATATTTTTTGTTTCGATTGATTGTGGTTCGGATTCACATTGAATGACTTGGTTTATTGCATATTTGTGTAATGTTTTTTGTTCAATTTCTTCACAGTCATAGTGTGTGACTAGTAAATCCTGGGGTCCTATTCGGGGTGAAGGATTGTTTGGGTCAGGTTCTGAAAAATTGGAAAAAAAAGAAAAATTAGTATCTTCAAAAGATACATGTGTACGATAGTCCTGAATATGGGTTATAAAAGGTGATATATTCTATTGCCTTTTTTGTGTATCTATCGTTTTTGTATATTACTTCTGTGTTATAAGCGGGGGAGGTAAAAGTTGAGCTGTTATTTTTGGAGGGGTTAGGGGCAAGGGATGATGAACTATATATTTTTAGTTTTACTGTGATTTCAAATTTTAGTGTCAAGTTGTCTTGTCAAATATTTGTACATTATGGTCTTGAATATCTTTGTGAATGCCCTGTCGATATTCTAATCTATTCAATGCCCAGTTGTGTAATCTGTGTTTTCCGTGATTATTTCCAAATAATGGAGGGGGTGCTACGAATATATTCAAAATCTAATCGTAGTTGTATGTTATTAGTTGAATTTTCTCTATATCTGGCGTCGAGATTTTTAGGAAAATTTGGAGGAATTGGTGTTTGTGAAATTGAGTTAAGAAAGGTGTCGAGGGAAGTGAAAGAATTTCAAGTAGTGACAAAGATGGGTCAGATGAAACGTCTATTGGATCATTTATTAAATTTGGTTCGCCTTGAGTGAAAGCTTGTGTCATCCAAAATGGGAGATGTTCTGTAATGGTTGGGGGGGTTAAAAGAGTTTTCTCTGATTTGTTCATATGTAGGGGTTGAACCTAAACAATCTGAGGTACTGTTCGATGTGTTTTGTTGTAGTGGAGTCTGTGGGGTACTTTGAATTGTACTGCTAGAAACGTTTATAGGAGTCATTGTAGGTGAATGAGATATGCTGAATTGAACTCTGGGGTTTTGCAAACTTCTATTGCGTCTTGAATGAATAACTTGTCTGTTCATTTCGGTCGTACCAGATGAGTTATGTATGATTTACTATACTTATAGAGTAATTTCAGATAAGGTACACCGTCTGCTCGTCACGCTATCTTATTTTCGGCCGAATAGATTCGTGCAACTTCTTAGTCTAATACCAATCTTAATGTTACTCTTATATCTCCTAGTCTCAATAGATCTAGTGTACACCAGTTTGCGCGAGTTAGTTCCAGAATGAGAACAACTGTATTCTAAGTTTAATTCAAATTGTTCTGGTGTTGAAACTACAAGTAGTTTCAACACTTAACAAATAAATAGGTTGTTAGTTTGATGGAATATGATTGGTTAGTACTTAATATTTTATATAGCTAAAATATCATAATAATAACCAATGATAAATACTAGTTTAGATCTGGTTCCACAACCAAGATATTTTTTGTCTTTGGATGGACACTAAATCACCTTGTTGATTTCGGTGAGTTCTTGTTTGGCGAGTTTCTTGTCTCCATCTATGTCGTAGAGTGTGAATGCCATCTGCAGTCTCTCTTCAGGAGTGCCTCTGTGGATAATGTTTACATTCAACATAAACTCCCTGAAGCTGATCTTGTCTGTATAATACAAAAAAAAGATTATAAAAAAAAACATTCACATTTTGTTATCTTATGTGGAGCCGGAACAGTACACAGTGCCCATGGATTTCAAATGGTTATAATGGAGTTCCCAGAAAAAATATCCATGATAATCCATTGCAGATGCAGAATTCAGTCCACGATATTGAATCCAGTTTCATCATAATCGATTATTTTTTTTAAAAAATGATTCGTTATGACAGGGGCGGATCTAGGATTTTCTCGAGGGGGAGGGGGGGTGGATTTTCAAAAAATGTTCGAAATTTTCTCGACCTTTTTTTAGGTCGTTCCAATTGATTTTTTGAGCTCTCCCTAAGCTCCGTTTAGTCCCTGCTTTGGCCAAATTTTCTGCGCCGCAGGCAAAATTTTGAAAAAACAGTCCAATAAATGCGTTTTTAGGCACTTTTTTGAAAAATTTGACCAAAAAAGTGCGTTTTTTCGGCGCGTGCTCCCCCTCAAAATTAGTATATATTGGCGCCAAAGGCGCCTTTAGAAAAACTTCAGGGTCGGTTGGCCAAAAATGGATTTCTTAAAAAGTACCAAAGGGGGGACCCTTTGGGTCGGCAGGGGGTCGAATCACCGAGGGGGGGGGGGGGGGGGGCGTCCGCCCCCTGCCCCTCTAAATCCGCTACTGCGTTATGATTCATTGTAATCGAATATAATCCATTATGTTTGGCTCTGAAATGTTTTTGTTAAGATACTCCATTATAATCAGTTTTTTTGAAAAAAAAAATCCGTTATAATCCATTTTATTCGATTATCATCCATTTTTTTAAGAAATCATTTCGATTATTTTGCAGACATATTGCAAATTTTGTATAAAATTATGTCCTATGTCGTAAACAGTTATTATAAGCAAAAAAAGTAGCTGAACCTTCCTCCCCTCCCCCACCCTTCAGTTTACTGTTCCTCAACCCTAACTCCACGCCCAGTTTAGCTTTCATTCCATCCCCCCTCAATTAAATTTTTTAACCTCCTCCATTCAGTTTATCAATCTCACCCGCAACTCTTACCGGAGTTTATCAGTTTACCCAACCCCCTTATTCATCCACCCCCCTCCACTTAAGTTTTTGAGTGGGGGGACGGAAAAAAGAGTTGAAGTTCAACCCTTTAACCCACTTCTCACGTTCAAACATTACCCCCGTCAACCAATAATCCCCCCTGTCAAAAGAAAGTTATATAAATGATAAGCTGCTATGAATTTAGTATCGAAGAAGCAGAAAAAACATAAATATATGAAATCTATATAAAATATGAAATGTACCAAATTATGAAACTTAATACATAACAGCTGCACTAAACAGCAAACAAATTTAAACCTTCAAAAATTTTAATTTTATTAATAAAATTTCTATAATTCCATTGTAATCGACTATTATCTATTATAATGGATTATATTGACCTGAAAATATTAGAATTTTATTTCAATTTTAATGGGCGCTCGGCTCGGTGCGGGTAGATTTGATGGGCTAGCTTTCCAAAAAATTCACACATGAATCTTAATCTTTGGGCTCTAAATTGTATGTCTTTAATGAGTGCCTATATAATCGAAAGTAATAATAAAATCATAACTGCCGTTTGTGCTCGGTTCTCATATCTTTGATTGATTGGGACTCAGTTTTGCCCAAAAATTCATCGGAATAAAATTGTACAATCTGCGACGTTATCAATTTCAAAACTCATTGTTTTTTATAAACCTCATAGTTTTCATAAAAACTTGTTTAGTTCATACAAACGAAAATTTTATGTTTTGATAGGATAATCTCTAATCCACAATTTTTATTATATAGCAGAATGACTGCAAAACATGAGCAATTTTTTCAAAATTTAAAATCGCCAAAAATATATTTTCATTGAAAAAGGTGAGGACAAGGCAGCCTGAAAAAGTATTTAACAAGATAAAAAAATCATGTTCCTCCCAAAAAATTTTTTTCTACAACTTAAACTTCCAAACTGTTTTTTTTTTGAGAACGTTGAGGACGACGTAACCCAAAAAATCTGCATTTACTTTTTTTCAGCAATTAGTTTTCAGTATACAGCAGCAGTTTTCCGTAAAGAGCGGACTAACTAGCGTCCTATTTGTTTTTTCTTGCCGTTAACTCGCCTTCTCATAAAATAGTGAAAAAAAATTCTGCTCAATTAGTGCAAAAATTAAAATAGTGCAAAAAAATTCTGCTCAATTAGTGCAAAAATTAAAATAGTGCAAAAAAAATCTGCGCAAAAAATTTCTGAAAAATTCTACTCAATTTTCTCAAAATTATTGTATTTGCTTCAAAGGAAAATGTAAATGAGACAAATCATGGTCAATTAGCACCCACTGCAAACTATAATGGCCATTCGTTAACATAGTCAATATACAGTTATAAAAAGCAAAGGAACGCAAGTTAACAACTTTCGAAATTCCTAGAAAAAATATTGGCCGTAAAACTCTTGTAATTTTTCGTGATTGAATTTTTGTTGATAAAATCAACTCAAATTGCAAAAAAAAGATCAATAGGTTAAATTTCCGTTTCCCTAGAAAATTTGATTATCAATTTCCATTGTGAAGTTCCATGTTGATCATGTTTTTCGTGACCTTACACTTTTGCTGCTCGACAATGGAGTTTGCCTTCCTTTTCCAAAATGAATTGCATTCCAAATATTTTGACAAGAGACCAAAGTCTGACGTTTTTACAAATACAGTTTCAAACTACTTGCTCTCCGTGAATGTAGCCTATTGTCTAATATATCAGTGAAACTCAGACAAAATGATCTTGAAAGTTGGCAATGAAATTAGGTTCTTCATAAGGAGAGTCTCTTTTACTTGAAACTAAATTACTTAAGAACAAAAAAAATTGAAGTTTAATTTTACTCTCAGATGTCTTTCTATCCAAATTATAACTTGAACCCCTTTGGCAGTGGTTGAACTTGAAACAGAAACCTGGCCGACAAACTTTTATGCAATTCGGGCCCTGCGATACAGTTGAGGCCCTGCATACAATGAGAGCCCTGCGAGAAAACTTGAAATGTACTTCAAGTGGATGGAAACAAAAGGCAGTAATGCAATTATATGCAAGCAAAAAGCAAACTTCTAAACAATTTCGATTTAAAATTTTTCTGGGGAAACTAAATTACTTAAGAACAAAAAAAATAAATTGAATCTTAATTTTGCTCTCGGATCTGTTTCTATCCAAAACATAACTTAAACCCATTTGGCAGTGGTTGAACTTTGAAACAGAAACCTGGCCAACAAACTTTTATGCAATTGAGGCCCTGCATACAATAAGACCCCTGCGATAAAACTTGAAATGTACTTCAAGTGGATGGAAACAAAAGGCAGTAATGCAATTGAATGCAAGCAAACAGTAAACTTCTAAACAATTTCGATTTATTATTTTTCTGGGGAAACTAAATTACTTAAGAACAAAAAACAAGAAATTGAAGTTTATTTTTACTCTCAGATGTCTTTCTATCCAATTTATAACTGGAACCGCTTTGGCAGTGGTTAAACTTTGAAACAGAAACCTGACCATTAAATTTTTATGCAATTAGGGCCCTGCGATACAGTTGAGGCCCTGCATACAATGAGAGCCCTGCGAGAAAACTTGGAATGTACTTCAAAAGGATGGAAACAAAAGGCAGCAATGCAATTTATTGCAAGCAAAAAGCAAACTTCTAAACAATTTCGATTTAATATTTTTATGGGGAAACTAAATTACTTAAGAACAAAAAAAAGGAAATTGAAATTTATTTCTACTCTCAGATGTCTTTCTATCCAAATTATGACTTGAACCCCTTTGGCAGTGGTTGAACTTTGAAACAGAAACCTGGCCAACAAACTTTTATACAATTAGGGCCCTGCGATACAGTTGAGGCCCTGCATACAATGAGAGCAATGCGAGAAAACTTGAAATGTACTTCAAGTGGATGGAAGCAAAAGGCAGTAATGCAATTATATGCAAGCAAAAAGCAAACTTCTAAACAATTTCGATTCAATATTTTTCTGGGGAAACTAAATTACTTAAGAACAAAAAACAAGAAATTGAAGTTTATTTTTACTCTCAGATGTCTTTCTATCCAAATTATAACTGGAACCCCTTTGGCAGTGGTTAAACTTTGAAACAGAAACCTGACCATTAAATTTTTATGCAATTAGGGCCCTGCGGTACAGTTGAGGCCCTGCATACAAGGAGAGCCCTGCGATAAAACTTGGAATGTACTTCAAAAGGATGGAAACAAAAGGCAGTAATGCAATTTAATACAAGCAAACAGTAAACTTCTAAACAATTTCGATTTAATATTTTTCTGGGGAAACTAAATTACTTAAGAACAAAAAAAAAAAAATTGAAATTTAATTTTACTCTCAGATGTGTTTCTATCCAAACTTTAACTTTAACCCCTTTGGCAGTGGTTGAACTTTGAAACAGAAACCTGGCCAACAAACTTTTATGCAATTAGGGCCCTGTGATACAGTTGAGGCCCTGCATACAATAAGAGCCCTGCGAGAAAACTTGAAATGCACTTCAAGTGGATGGAAACAAAAGGCAGTAATGCAAGTTAATGCAAGCAAAAAGCAAACTTGTTAACAATTCCGATCTAATATTTTTCTGGGGTTTTCAAAAAACAAACTGTCGGAAATATCAATTCACTGACAAATTTTCAAAACAGCGAAGATGTTTTTATGCAAAAAACTTACTAAAAAAGCAGAAACTTTCAAAACTCGTCTTTGTCTCAAAAATTGGTCATGTGATCATCTTTGATGATCATATCGAAGGTTTAATATGGCAAAAGTTTACAGAAAAATCCAGATTTTTCCTTCAATAATTTATTTGCACATACAAAAATTAACTTTTGCCCTCTAAATTTAACTTTTAACTGGAAACAGTTTTAACAATTTTCACAATTGGTATAGGCGAAACATTTAAAATTACTTAGAGGAAAAGATCGCAGCTACCCTCAGTGAAAATATAGCTTTTAGTAAGCAGTAAAAGCTTGAAACTAAAAATTGGTAACAAAGCTGAGACCTCTCTGTCGACATAATATTTTTCTGAAATTCAATTAAGCTGCATTCAAAAAATATGAAAAATCGGCAAGTTGAGTGAAAAATAGGCAAAATGAGGAGTAAAAACAGAACTTGCACTTACTTTTGTTCATTAAAGAAATTCCGATTGCTTTCAGCAAAATATTTACACGAATTTATGTGTTCAGCGAAAAATTTACACTAATTTCTGTATTCACTGGTCTGAACTTTACCAGGTATCAAAGCTAACCTTTTGAAAACTTAATGGTATTTCAAACAGTAAATTACACCTGATCAAATAGAAAAACACTGTTTTTAATCTATGTCTGTTAAGTTGATTAACTTTCAAAAGATAATGTTTTCTTGGTTTGTCACTGAAATAAAGCATTAAGTTTTGTACTATGGTTTTTTAAATAGGCATTTTAATTTTGTACGTTTGTATTGCCTTAAGACTTTCTTAAAGTAAAGTTCTAGACTAAAAGTAGAACTCTGTTGCTATATATCAGAGCCAGCCATTGATTTTGTAAATTATCAAAAATGGCTCGTTGAAAATTTGCTCTTGCGTTTTCAATGCCACTCAGTATATAGAGAGTTTTTACAAGCCTGATGGTCAAGTTAGTCATTTATAGGGGTCTAAACTCGTTATAGGTAGTTTTTTTTAATTGATATTGGTTATGTAAAAATTCAAAACGCGAGGTGCCTGAAAACATATTTACATTAGTAGAAAAAGAAGCGCAGTTTCAGTTTCTTACTCTCTGAACAGACTGTTTTCAAAGACGGTTTTTGAGAAAAAATGCTTCGAGCTTGCGCTAAAATTTCAAATCAACCGTCAGAAAATGATCTCAGCTACCCTCAATGAATAAAAAAATATATATAGTTTCACTACTTACCAGTTTTTTAGTCGAGTCAAAAAGCCAGATTTCACCATTTCCAGTTAGTTTTAAAGCTGCGTGAAAATGATGTTAGCAACAACTGGTTGAGAAACGTTTTTACACTAAACGATTCATTTTTTGATGAACATGTGTCTAATACATCAATAACTACTTCAATTTTGCTTATTTGAGAAACAGTTAATTTTCAAAAATTAACTGGAGATAGTGCAACCTGACAGTTTCGACCTCAAAAAATCTGGTAAATCAAAAAAATTATTAAAAATTTTTTGAAATAAAAGATTGCAGAGACTCTTTGCTCCGCTTGAAGCAAAAATGTGGAAGCTCGAATTAGACGCTGTTAAAAAATCCCTGATAGCAGGTTTTTTACTGGGTAAAAGTGCATTTGCGCTTGATTTGTCGACTTCTGTGCCAAAAGTGATCTATATTTTCTAGAAGAAGTTTAAAAAACAGATATGTCAGATAGAGTTCTGAACAAAATTATTGTTCCAATTTTCGATATATGCGAAAAAGTAATTCAGCTTGACTTGTTCTTTTTCTTCAGACAGTTTTCGACTGTTTAACCAAGAATTTTTGACGGAATTTTTTATATCAGCCAAAAAATAGTGTTGACTTGAGAAAATTATTTAATCTGCGACTAATTTTTGCAAAGTAATCATTACGAGGCCCAAAGATGCGCTAGATGAGCGCTCAATTTATTGTGTGTAGTTCTGTGGAATCCAGAGACAAATCTTCAAACTTTAAATTTTGTCGGAGCATTCAAAGAAAACGAAAGAGCAAAAGATGAACAACGAGAGCTTCCTTACTTTTCCGCACTCCGTAAAAAGAGAAAATAATTAAATTATAATTAGCAAAATTATAATTAATTATAAGCGCCAATTTCAGATGTTTGAACTATTTATAATCCAATGTAACGATAACATTTTGGTGTCATTTTAAGAAAATATAATCAATTGCAATTGATTATAATTTTCTGAAAACTCTTATAAATCTTATGATCTATGTTAATAGATTATAATCCTTTTTTCTATCAAATTATTACCTCATAAAAAAATCTATTATAATGAATTATAATTTAGCTAATCTGCATGAAAACACAGTAAATACCAAATTTAATTTAAGTTTAGGCTGTAATGTAAGTACAAAATTACAGTTTGTTTTAGTTCATCAGTTCCCCTAATTAATGCACCTGCAGGTGGGGTGTAGGTAGAATTCACCTTCTGGTGACAAGTGGGTATAGGTAGGATGCAGATACAGGTGACAGGTGGGTGTAAGTGGGATGCACCTTCTGGATTATAATTCAAACAAATTTGAGAAATGTTTTTAATTCTTCGATTATAATAATTTATAATTTTTTTTTTCGCAAGATAGTAGCATTATAATCCATTTTTAATCAATTATAATCAATTCTTCTTGAAATTTATGAAGACTGACAATAAAAATCCTTTACAATCTATTAATTTCTCTTTCTACTGAGTGCGGGTTGGTCTATTTTTTTTCTCATGGTACTTAACATAGCGTGTTGAGAGATGGCATGGAATGAAAATCTCAAAAAGCACTTCAAAATTTTTTTTTTTGGAGTTTTATCTTTTTTTAAAGCAAACACTACTCCATAGACCTTAAAAAGCAAGCAGTCTTGATACGAGTTGTCATTTTTCTAGTAACAAATTTCGACTGACCGTCTCTGTCTGCGTCAAGTACTCTGAACAGGTGTTTTGAGATGGATTCCGGGTCCCCGTGGGGGAACTTTTTCCTGAAGGTGTACATGAAGTCCTTCAGAGACATGTAGCCGCGCGGGAAGTCAATCATGAATCCATCAAACCACGCAATCAATTCTGTTTCAGTTAGGTCAAGTTAACAGGTGTTTCATTTTGAAATTTAAATATTTTTAGCGGGTCCATAAAAAATAATTGGCCTGGCGAGTAAAACGCAATTGACTGGATCATGATCAGAGTTGAAATGTACGAGATTCATTTTTTGATGAACATGTGTCTAATACATCAATAACTACTTCAATTTTGCTTATTTGAGAAACAGTTAATTTTCAAAAATTAACTGGAGATAGTGCAACCTGACAGTTTCGACCTCAAAAAATCTGGTAAATCAAAAAAATTATTAAAAATTTTTTGAAATAAAAGATTGCAGAGACTCTTTGCTCCGCTTGAAGCAAAAATGTGGAAGCTCGAATTAGACGCTGTTAAAAATCCCTGATAGCAGGTTTTTTACTGGGTAAAAGTGCATTTGCGCTTGATTTGTCGACTTCTGTGCCAAAAGTGATCTATATTTTCTAGAAGAAGTTTAAAAAACAGATATGTCAGATAGAGTTCTGAACAAAATTATTGTTCCAATTTTCGATATATGCGAAAAAGTAATTCAGCTTGACTTGTTCTTTTTCTTCAGACAGTTTTCGACTGTTTAACCAAGAATTTTTGACGGAATTTTTTATATCAGCCAAAAAATAGTGTTGGCTTGAGAAAATTATTTAATCTGCGACTAATTTTTGCAAAGTAATCATTACGAGGCCCAAAGATGCGCTAGATGAGCGCTCAATTTATTGTGTGTACTTCTGTGGAATCCAGAGACAAATCTTCAAACTTTAAATTTTGTCGGAGCATTCAAAGAAAACGAAAGAGCAAAAGATGAACAACGAGAGCTTCCTTACTTTTCCGCACTCCGTAAAAAGAGAAAATAATTAAATTATAATAGCAAAATTATAATTAATTATAAGCGCCAATTTCAGATGTTTGAACTATTTATAATCCAATGTAACGATAACATTTTGGTGTCATTTTAAGAAAATATAATCAATTGCAATTGATTATAATTTTCTGAAAACTCTTATAAATCTTATGATCTATGTTAATAGATTATAATCCTTTTTTCTATCAAATTATTACCTCATAAAAAAATCAATTATAATGAATTATAATTTAGCTAATCTGCATGAAAACACAGTAAATACCAAATTTATTTTAAGTTTAGGCTGTAATGTAAGTACAAAATTACAGTTTCTTTTAGTTCATCAGTTCCCCTAATTCATGCACCTGCAGGTGGGATGTAGGTAGAATTCACCTTCTGGTGACAAGTGGGTATAGGTAGGATGCAGATACAGGTGACAGGTGGGTGTAAGTGGGATGCACCTTCTGGATTATAATTCAAACAAATTTGAGAAATGTTTTTAATTCTTCGATTATAATCGATTATAATAAATTATAATTTTTTATTGTTTCGCAAGATAGTAGCATTATAATCCATTTTTAATCAATTATAATCAATTCTTCTTGAAATTTATGAAGACTGACAATAAAAATCCCTTACAATCTATTAATTTCTCTTTCTACTGAGTGCGGGTTGGTCTATTTTTTTTCTCATGGTACTTAACATAGCGTGTTGAGAGATGGCATGGAATGAAAATCTCAAAAAGCACTTCAAAATTTTTTTTTTTGGAGTTTTATCTTTTTTAAAGCAAACACTACTCCATAGACCTTAAAAAGCAAGCAGTCTTGATACGAGTTGTCATTTTTCTAGTAACAAATTTCGACTCACCGTCTCTGTCTGCGTCAAGTACTCTGAACAGGTGTTTTGAGATGGATTCCGGGTCCCCGTGGGGGAACTTTTTCCTGAAGGTGTACATGAAGTCCTTCAGAGACATGTAGCCGCGCGGGAAGTCAATCATGAATCCATCAAACCACGCAATCAATTCTGTTTCAGTTAGGTCAAGTTAACAGGTGTTTCATTTTGAAATTTAAATATTTTTAGCGGGTCCATAAAAAATAATTGGCCTGGCGAGTAAAACGCAATTGACTGGATCATGATCAGAGTTGAAATGTACGAGATTCAATTAAGGTACACAACACATAAACAAAACCAACGCCTCGATATCTATCTTGTATTTGGCCCGTAAAAAAGCTAAAATTATAGTTTGATGTGTTAACTTGCTTCCTTTTTTGTTGTATCTCGTTTCATTCAGGAGATATTGAAGGTCTCTTTGATCAATTTTTCCGTGCGAACTTCCCATTTTCTCTAATTTTTGATACTGAACAGTTGTTTGTAGTGGCTCACCATCTATGGCTTTTCAAGAAAGTCTTTTCACTGGCTTTTACATGTAATTTGTATTTGATTTTATTATCTCATGCATTTCTCTTTTGATGCTTGAATTATGTAATGGGTAAAGTTGTTTATAACAGTGCTTTAAAACCTTTGTACACGACTGTTTCATGAAAGTTGCATCCTAACTTTGTATATGATCAAGAAAAAACAGCATAAGCTCAAATGCTGTTTACCAACCAAAAATCATTTTCGTGATCAAATTTGAAGACAGGATTTTTCACACTATGAATGTTTGCTCTATTTAGAGTTTTAAATTTATCTTTTTATGCAAATTAGGGATTTTTACGCTCGGGAATCCCTTTGCATATTTTGCAGCAACTTTATGCTTCATTTTATTCTAGAATTACAAGCTCAAAATTGAGCACTCCTGTTTTCTCTCATTTATTGGACACTATTCACAGAAAAATAAGCACTAAGCAAAGGTGAAAAGGTGATCACGATTGGCTCACAGAAATTTGCATACTGCTCAAAAAACGAGTATAAAAGCAAAGCTGAAAACTTCCAAAAACACAACGCTCCGTTTTAACAAAAGAGTAACTAACTCAACCCCAACCTTTGGAAGCCAAGGGACAGAAGTTCGGAGTTCAACCTTTCTAACCTCCTACATAATAAAACTTAACTCAATCCTATGTATCTAATCAAAATATTTTGTTTGATAAAAAGTCTAAATAAATGAATACTTTTCTAAAAGTAGAACGGACATCTTATTAACTAGCAGCGCTAGCCCCGCGTATTAGGATAATTATTCAGCTAGTATAATGAATTGATGTGACCAGTGAGGCTTAAATTTATTGGGTAAAATTTTTCGCAATCTCTAAAGAGAGAACGAATTGCCAAAGTAAATTCTCAAGGACAGAGAATTTTTTGTACTTTCTCTAAAAAGAAGAGAAATCTGTCAAGTTCCAAAAAGAAAACGAAATGTCAATTGATATACCAAAACAAGAGAAACTGTTGTCTTTCTCAAGAAAGAGAGATTTCATAAGTTTCAAAGAGGGAACTCAAACTAGAGTAAAAATTTTAAAATTTCTTCTATACTATAGTTTTAACGTCTTTTTTTATTCTACCCTATGCTTTAAACATTTCTCTTAATTTCTGAAAAATTGAAAAAAAAAAGGTGACGTTCGATTCACGCATCCGAATTCGTCCCCTGTGACCTTTTCAGGGAACGATCCATACCAAAGGGCAACTGGTTTTGGAGTTCAGTTCACAGTAAAACAATCTAGGGCAAAGACCCGCCGATGCCGGTATGCTGGCCAACTATTCGT